CCAGCTCCTTGAGTACCCTGGGGTGTAGATTGTCAGGGCCAGCTGACTTGAAGATATCCAGCTTCTCACGGTGTTCCTTCATGAGGTCATCATTAATGGAGGGCAGGGGATCACCCTCACCCAGACCTCCCTGTCCCGTAGTGGGCATGAGCGTCCCATGGGACTGATGAAAGACCGACATAAAGTACTCATTTAATAGGTTGGCTTTTTCCTGGGCATCAGTTGTCAGTTGCCCCATCTGGTTCAGCAGGGGTCCAATGTTACCCGTGCTTTTCCTCTGGCTCCCCACATATCTAAAAAATGACTTTTTATTGTCCTTGATGCTCGAAACTAGTTGGAGTTCAGTTGCAGCCTTGGCTTTCCTGGTTTGCTCCCTGCAGGACTGGACCAGTGCAGAATAATCCTTCTTGGAGGTGAATCTGATCCTCCATCCTTTGTAGGCCTTTCTTTTTAGCCTCAGGAGGTCTTCTAGGTCCCTGGAGAGCCAGGGGGCCTGCTGTGCCCTTTTGCTTCTTGCCTTCTGAGATGGAATAGACTTAGCTTGTGCACTGAGGATCTCTCCCTTGAGGAGCAACCACTCTTCTTGAACTCCCCTTTCCCTGGGGTCATGGTCCATTAAGGCCTCACTTACAAGCCTCCTGAGCTTGTCAAAGTCATCTTTCCTGAAGTCAAGGACTTCAGTGTTGTTGACTGACCTGCCAGCTTTACAGTGGATGGTGAAGGTGATCAGTTTATGGTCGCTGTCACCCAGCTTCCCATCAATCACTAAGTTGCTGATTACGTGATCCCCAGTAGCCAGTACCAGGTCAAGCAGCACTTTGCCTCTCATTGGCCTATAGATTTCTTGAGCCAGGTAGAGGTCATCCACGCACAAGAGGAAGCTTTGCAACCACTCGGATTTTGCTGAGTGATCCTCCCATGAGATGTCCGGGTAATTGAAATTCACCAACCCCTAGATGTAAGCTTCTGATGTAGTGGTAAGCTGCTATCAAGTCCCCTTTCAGCCTTCTCTTTTTCAGGCTGAAGAGTCTCAGGTCCCTCAGCCTTTCCTCATATGGCTTGCCATGCAAGTCTCTGGTCATATGAGTGTCCCTTCTCTGGAATCTCTCAAGTGTTACCATGTCCTTCTTAAGGTGCAGAACCCAGAACTGGATACAGTACTCCAGCTGCAATCTCACTAGTGCTCAGTAGAGCTGAGTAGATCAGGAGAATCATTTCTTTGCAATGGTTTTGCTGGAGATGTATCAATTGATGCCTGCCAGCATATTGTTGTTCCTGCTGGCTACAACATTGCATTGCCAGCTTATGTTCATACAGTGGTAAATTATTACCCTCAGGTCTTTGTAACAAGTGATGGGGGATTTTCAGTTCTGCTGCCTGATGAGAGGCAGCAGTTGCACAAGCACCCATGACACAAGTTTTGCCTGTGAGCAGCTAGGGGTGCAGGGCTCCAGAAGCCCCCTTCACATATCTCCTTGACAGCTGGAAGGCTTTGTGGTCACAGCAGGGCCTAGCAGCCAGGCCTGTAGTGGTTTCCACCTCCCCCACCCCTGCCCCAAGACAGACACAGTTGCACAAGCACCCATGACACGAGTTTTGCCTATCTGTGGCCAGAGGTGCAGGGCCCCAGAACCCCTGCACCTATCTCATTGACAGACGGCAGGCTTTGTGGCCTCAGCAGGGGCTAGGATGCCTGCAGTTTTGACCCCACTGTGTCTTAACACATACACGTGACACAAGTTTTGCTTTTAGGATTTTGGGGTGCAGTTTCTCTGATTCCCATGCACCTATCTTCTGGAAACTTGGCACGCATCATACCCTCGGAATGAGCTACCATTTCTGCAAGGTTCATCCAAATCTGGGAAGAAATGACAAAGTTATAGCCTGTTTTGACCTTCCGCATTATATCTTATGGGCAAAACATTGAAACGGTTGAAACAGCAAAGCGTTTTGACGGAACGAAATGGAACAGCTGTTTGGACTCAAAACAAAAGTCAAAATGAAGCACTGTTCTGTTGAAACCCTGGTCAAAATGGAATGCTTCCATTTAGCACAGCCCTAATGGTAATGTCTTGCCCATAGAGATGTTAACTGATAAAGAAAAGAAGCTTTAGTACTGGTCTTAGATCTGAGATACTGAGCAGCCACAAATCCCAGTGGCCAGTGAAATATGAGGAGATTGCTCTTCCCAATCACAGCCTCAGTTACTTGTCATCACAAAACTTTCTGCAGTACTGAACAAAGTTTTTTGTTTTGTTTTGTTTTGCTTTTAAACTGTGTGTATCAATTTTTTTTGTTTTGACTGCTGTTGTAACTCTATATTGCTACATTTACTAAGATGTACCTTTTAACTAATGTTACTTCTGGAAACAAGTAACATGAAGAAGTTTTCCATTACCTTTGAAATAAGGTTTCAACTGACTACAATTGGTATTCCATTTAGGTTTGTAATCCAAAATCAATTGTATTACAGTCAGTAATTCTAACAACAAAGGATTTTTTTGTTGTTTTTTTTTTAAACAAAGGATTTGGGCTTCATATAAAAGGAGGATTTATTAGCATGATAGTTATCCATGAGGACATGAGGAGACTTGGCAAAATAAGGTACTCTACTACATATAAGTGTTTCAAAAGTTTTTTGGATTTTCTTTTTTTTATTTAAACAATTTTCTGTTTCATCCTCCTTGACAGACTTATTGATTCCAGGAAAAAACAACAAAAACTTACTAGCAAAATTTCACTGTGCCACTGAGATCAATATATATAGATGAATCCCACCTTCCTTTGTAAAAAAATAGAATAAATAAATAAATAAATACATACATAAAAGGTCTTTTTTGGTCCCTAAGCAGTATGTTCCTTTCATCTCCATAAACAGGAGATTTTTCTATCTGGTCCAAAGATTTGTGTAGCCAAGGGTTGTCAAACATATGGCCCACAGGCCAGGTTCAGCCTTTGGTGCTGGCTCTGGGTCTCAGTTGACCCACATGTACTGGCCACATATGTGGGCAGGATCTAACAGATGCATTGCATGTGGTGGCCATTGCAGGTGCTCTAGGATCCATGCCTCATGCATTCATACAATATACCAGACCAGACCAGCTGAAGTATGGTACAGTCCTGGACCAGCTGGCACTGCATCCAATGAGGAACTCTACAGTATTATTCACCTCTCCAGTTCTTAAAATATAGGGTGAAATTTAGCACCTCTGAGGTCAGTGGCAAATCTTCTGTGTCACTCATACTCAGTGTTCTTCTACTTTCATTTCTTCTAAAATGTGTTACCTTAGCTCAACTGAAATAAATTATTTTTTTTAAATCACTACTGTACATTCATAAAGTTGGAGAGTTTAACATCAGAAGGCCAGTATGACATCCTGTATGTGAAAGATCACTAATTTTTATCCACTTACTTTTATACTGAATCCAAAACATGTGTTTGACTAGAGAAGAACTTACCATTTTTTACAGTGTATAAATCAAAGTTTGAAGCTAAAATATTGACCTTTAAATTTCCACCTCAACTTATACATCATTGTTAGGGTAATGATATGGATTTTGGATGTTGGGGTAATGTAATAAATTTTGGGGAGTACTGAGTGTGCAGTTGGATGAAGGCTTTTTCCTGTGTCTCAGCACAAAGCTGCTGGTCACAAGATTGAATGATATATTAAAAGGTAACCTCAGTAAAAGCTGGTGATCACAAGGCTAGCTGTTGTATTAAAAGCAACTAACCTAGCTAGTGCTTAAGTAAGCGGCTTCTTAACAAGTGGATAGGGTGCAAAGTGCATGATATGTAACTATTGTCAGGAGACAAAGCAGAGGTACAGCCCTGGAGATGAAGAAGTCAGCAAGAAAACCAGCAAAAACCAGGAAGAAACTGTAAAGTGACCAAAAGAAGATAGGAGTCAAAGTGTTTTGCATGCACTCTTAGCAGAGAGGCAGGTAAATGAATAAAATGCATAGGCCATACCATGCTAAGGAAGCAAACAGTAAACAGGTGGAGCTTGAAATGGGAGGAGAAATGGGTGGAACCAGAGGTGGGACAAGGGAAGATAAATGTTAATATTTATGAACCATGGTGTATAAAATGTGAAAAAAACTAATGTTCAATGCAGGTCCCTGGTTTGTTGTTTTTTGGTACCTTTGTCCGAAGCTGTCTCCATTCTGAATAAAACTATTGTGAGCAATGCATGCTGGTGTTTGCTTCTTGCTCTGCTCTGGCTAATGAGTACCAGGTTCCATGGGCGATTGGATCATTGTCTCCCTAGTCATTGGGTGCTGCATGGAGTCGGAGTCTAAAAATCATATCAATACTTTCAAATAAAAAAAAATTGTGTTTCAAAGTTTGTTCATTTTTTAAACAGGCATTAGGCACAGTCACACTATATAAATTGAAACTGAAACTTCTGATGTTGAGGATCCATACGATGACCAAATTAATCATGTGGATGATTGGATAGAACTCTTTGGGGTTGACACTTCTAATTATGAAAATGACTATGGGATTTTCAACTGTGCTCAGGAAATTGTTCATTGTTTGTAACCCATGACTTGAGGTACTTGGCATGATCATCAACAGAAATAATCATGGTGGTGATTGTTCATTCTGAATTCTTCCCACTAGGAGAAAATATTTACTGTACATATAATTTTTTATAAATGGATCATTATAAAATGCGGCTTAACCTATACAACAAATCTATGAAAATCCTTACTTTTAAAATCAGAAATATGGGGTTAACTTATACACCATGTGAAGTTATATACTGTGAAATATAGTAGTATTGCTTGGAGGGTATTTGCCATAAATACAAAAAAAAAAAATGTATTTGTTGACTTCAGGAGCTGAAGAATTCAAAATTCCTCTAGTAATCATTCCAATATAGTTTCATAATTTCATAGTTGGTAGGGTTGGAAGGGACCTGAGCAGATCATTAAGTTCAACCCCCTGCTGTGGCAGGAAGAAGTACTGGGGTCAAATGACCCCACCAGGGGGTTTGTCCAGCCTCCTCTTAAAGACCCCCAGGGTAGGAGCCAGAACCACTTTTCTTGGAAGTTGGTTCCAGATCCTAGCCACCCTGACAGTGAAGTAGCACCTTCTGATATCTAGTCTGAATCTACCCTCTGCCAGCTCATGACCGTTATTTCTAGTCACTCCTAGTAGTGCTCGGGGAAACAGGGATTCCCCCAATGCCTGCTGGTCCCCTCTGACTAGTTTGTAACAGGCCACGAGAACCCCCCTCAGCCTTCTCTTGTGAAGGTTGAACAGGTTCAGGTCCTATAGCTTCTCCTCGTAGGGCCTGCCCTGCTGCCCCCAATCATGCATCTCAAACAGGTCCAAAGAGGGCCACTCATATCTGTGGATGCATGACAAGGTACGGCTGGCCTTCCTGACTGTGCCCCCAAGACTCCAAGATCCTTTCTGCCTCTGCACTGATGAGAAGGGAGTTTCCCAGCCTGTAGGTATGCTGCTGGCTCTTCCTCCCCAGGTGCAGTACCTTGCACTTGTCAGTGTTGAAACCCATCCTGTTCTCATCCACCCACCCCTGTAACCTGTCTAGGTCTGATTGTAGCCTATTCCTCCCTCCTAGCATGCCCACGTCCCCCCACATCTTAGTGTCATCAACAAATTAGAACAGGGTGTTTCTTCCCCCCTCGTCCAAGTCACTGATGAAGATGTTGAACAGTGTGGGCCCAAAGACCAAACCCTGGATGACCCTACTGCCCACATCCCTCCAGGCTGAAAATTACCTAGCCTCTGCCACTCTCTGGGTGTGGCCCTCCAG